CCTCCGGGGCAGGCGGGGATCGAACTCATGCGGAAGTGGGTTTAGATTCTCAGTGCTGTGCTTTAACCCGCTGCGCCACCAGGGAGGGCCCACCATAGTGATTTTTTAAGATGTGAGAAACATGCCCCTTGGGAGCACATAGGAATCCCTGGAAGGGGGTGCTTCTTCAAACCATCCTTTTCCTGACAGCCCAGCTCAGCTCAGCCCAGCCCAATCTACCAAAGACTTTGCAAAACAATTTTCATTACATACCCACTGTGCTTAAAAAGCTCAAAGACATTTTGTCTATTAAAATGTGGTGATAAAAATATATATACTTAACATTGATTCACATAAATTATTACCAATATGTCAAGTATGCTTCTTACAACTACTTTATTCCAAAAAGAAATGTTAAATAAGTTTTGTATTAGTTCTTCCTCCATTTATCGTGAGCATAGCTGCTACTTCTCATTTTGTTACTTGATTAAATAATAATACACAAAGAATTAGATTACTTTATAGCATATGCCCAAGGAGACTTCTCAAGAGCAAGGACCAGGGGAATTTTCTTCAAGCACTGTTACTCTTATGGGCAACAACTATAGCTTTAAAAAGAAGCCCTAAATATACCAAGCTGATCTAAACTCATTAGTATCCATATCGAGTTTGTTAATTTACTAATTTCAAATTCTTAATTACTAATTTAAAATTCACTTTATCCTTGAAAAACTGATGACCCACTACCAAGGGAAGCCTTCTTATTTTACATGACATATAGGTACTTAATGGTTAACTTTTATTTTCCTCAGAATATGTTTTTCCTTCTTATTACAGTCAGTTTAGTTGGGGATTATTCAGTATTTGAAGTAAAAAAATTAGAGCAACCATATACAATGCCTACTAGAAATCTGAGCATTAGGAGAAAAAATGGTATAAAATATATGATACAACACTTGAGAGATGATAAAGGTCATTCAATATGGTAACTAGCCATCTACAGATTTTTTTTAAGGCTGAATCAAACAGATATAAAAAACATTCAAAATCTAATCAATGTATTCATGTAACATCATCTCAAGGAAAAATGAAAAAGCAACCTCCCCATATATTATTTCTTACCAAAAAATCTCCCACTATCCAGATACAGAATGCTTACTTTTCTATTACTACAAAACCCAAGATAGTTACCAAAACTGTCACGTACACTCAAAACTGCAAGCTAAGAGAATACCATCTAATTTCAAATCTAGCTTAGGAGAAAAAGCACTCATAAACTCAATTTGTTCCTCCTCACCCCAAAAAATATTCAGATAGAAATTAATTCCAAACACAAAATGAAATAACCAGGGATTATACCAATTGGTCCCATGCATGCCCGTTCCATGGTTAATATAATCTGAAGCAAAATTAGAGGCTTGAGCTTTAGGAGAAAAAACGGTATAAAATACATGACACAACACTTGATATACACTAGGAGAGATGATGAATGTCATTAAATATGATAATATTTAAAAATATTTTTAATTACAACTGAGATGGGAAAAGACAAAATTATGTAAAAATAAACTTATTATTAAAAAATATTTTTTAAAGTTATCACTAATTTTTTGACTTCAAATTATATCAACCACTAATATAGCAAACTGAGAGTTATGTATATATGCTCTCAGGATTCACTAAAATAGCTCCAGGTAAAGGATAATAAACTGAGAGTGGAGTCCACGCCAGATATATCAGGAAGGAACATGAGATCTGGGACTAGGAACCACAGCTGAAAAAAGGACCACAGACTCAAGTGACTATGTTGGAGGCCGGATCCAGTTGCGGATGCAACCCTAACCCTGTAGAGCAGTGGGCACGCCCTCTGTCCGCCCTAACACATCCAGGGTAAAGACAAAGTCACTAAACTAAGGCAACCTGGTAAAAGTGGGAAAAGACACCTGGCCCCAGAATAGAAGAGACCACGTGAAATAGGGTGCCTAAGCCCGATCTAAATGGAATTTCTCTCGTTGAATCCAGCTGACTGTTGCTAAGCACAAAGGTAGTAAGTAGGTAAGTCACAAGATCTGATTTTAAAAGACCAGTTGCCCAGATCTTTAATAGACCCTTAAAAGAAAAACAAAAATGCTGGCAACCAATTTAGATTTAGGATAATGTGCAAACCAAACTACAGTATAGACTAAATCAAACACCGTGGCCACAATGTGCAACTTTTGCTGTAGGGACACAGAAGACAAAAAGAGCGTGGAGGGAAGAATCCTGGACTGAGAAGTAACAAAAGTTAGTATCAGTTAAGATAAGGAGGTAGGTGTGACCAGAATCTGCCTAATGCTGAAAACAGTAGCTGCCAGAAATGGGCAAAGGGAAACAATAACAAACTCCCGAGGGTGAAAAGCGCAGAGCGATGAGCGCCGCGGCGGGGGCAGCTCTCATTAGGAAGTGCCCAACCCGCGTCCAGGTGAACGCGGGGACGGAGCTGTTCTCACCCGTGGCCAAGGAAGTCGGCGGTGCTTCGGATCCCGAGGGGCTGCGCTTAGCTGAGCTACCCGCAGCCGC